AAGCGCAAAAACTTATTGGATTCTTTTTTCCCGATTTCAAGATGTTGAACATATGACTCCATACATAATAGGGGGTGAATTGTGGTGGTTTGAAAAATAAAAGTTTAAAATAAAATTATATTCTAGAGATTTATAGAGGTATGAAAATATATTATAAAAATGTTTGAATATGCAGCGTAAATTAAGAAGAAAATAAAGAAGTTAAGGGAAGAGAGATAACACTAGAGATTTATAGAGTTTTTATCTTAAAGAAGTGACATACTCCCCTCCCTAAGAACTGATCTTGAGAGTACCCAATAATTCTTGAGATGTATTAGAAGGTTAAGCCTACAAACAATATTATACAAGAAAAATAAAGTTTCATGCTAACTTCTAACCAAACAACAAACTGAGGAATAAAGCAATTAGTCTTCACTCCAAACAACATTCTGAGCTTCGAGCGGTCAGTCTCTAAACCAAATTGAGATTTTTCATAGGATGATCTCAAACCAAGATGAAATTTTGAATTGGCTATCCTTCTAACCAAACTGAGGTTTTACATGGGCTAGCCACAAACCAAACTAATAAACTACATGCACTTACCACGAACCGAACCTAGATTTTTATCGAGTTGATCTCAAACTTAGTGAGCTTTTACATAAGCTGAATTCAAAAATCGTGTTGAATTTTATACTAGGACAATATCGAACCAATAGAGCTTTTAATCGGGCTAAGCCAAAGAGCCATTGTGAAAAAATTTCTCTGCTTATTCTTCACAAATCCAAAAGAGAGCTTTTCTTTAATGGTGAAGCTCACGAACAAAACAAAGACTTATGCTAATCCCCAAAAGAAAGCTTTTACACTAGTTTAGCTCCAAACCAAGATAACTAGTTCCTAAGAAAGAATGATTTATTCAAGAGGAAAAAAGAAATCTTGGTAAATTTACAATAAAGCTCCACCCAGACTAATTTCCTTACTAAACTCAAGAACACTCTCAAAGCACCATGGCTAAGAAATGTAAGAGAAAGAAACATAATTTAGAGAGGTTAAGAGAAAGGAAAAATGAGGTATTTCACGTTTTTGGATAGTTTGAAATGTTTGGGAATCCGTCTATTTATATGTCAAGAAATAACTTATTTTTAGAAATAATCCACGAGCCAAATAAGCAACCTAATCGGCTAGTTAATCGATTAGGTACTTGCAATAATAAATTATTGTTGTCTAAATTGGAATGTTTTAATAGAGAGTTGTTACCATTAATTAAGACATTATCACCATAAGTTATAGACTTTATTATCCATTATCTAATCGATTAGGACAAATATATAATTAATTAGACAACTATAAAAAAGTCAACAAATCAATTTGACAATTTCCTAATCAACTAGCTAGGCTCGAAGAACATGTTTGGTGATTTTAATTGAAAAATTGATGCTTCAAGAATATGTTTTAATGTGTGTGCATGTGTGTGTGTGTGTGTGCGCGTGTGTGTGTAATTTAGCCATAACACTTCCAGAAACGCCCATGTGTCTTTATAATATACTGGTCACTCGAACACGACCTGATGAGCTTTCACACTTCCTCTCTTTCACACTCTAAAGCTTGAAGTCATTTTGTTTTATATATCAATCTTATAAGCATTTCACTTGAGTCTTCTTGAGGATGAGGCTTAAGGTATCTCTAAGTCATACACCATAATCAGAGAGTTGTAAATATATAATTGGTGATCGTAAAGCTTAGTTCTTTAGCTTGATTCAGAGGATTATCTTGATCAACCACCTTGTGCATCTTTGACTGTTTGAGATAGTTTCTTGACTTCATGCCTTGTTATCATCAAAACTACTTCAAGTGTTATTACCACTTTAGATGTTATCATCATGAAAACTACGACATCATCAAGGCTAAGCATTTTTTATTGAGTCTTGATATGAGCTTCTTGATTATAACTACAAGCACATGGTTCCATATTCTCCTTCTTTTTGATGATGACAATGCATCTCTTAGAGGAATGGTAAAAGAAAGACAAATGGATAAAATTTAGAGTGTTTAAACTCCCCCTCACATGAGTAGAGAGTATATTATACTCTCCTTGTGATTATACTTCTCCCTCTTTATCGTAATAAAAAGGCGGGTAAATATGCAAGACATAATTTTAAACATGCAAGCACATTGTTCACATAGTCAAACATATTGCTAAGAAGGAAAAAAAGCAGTATTTTATTAATTTAAAAATACTTGAATTCATATTACAGAAAGGAGGAAATTGCAAGAATTGAAACAATGCAGGAAAGATGGAAATTTAAACACACTTAAATACTAAAACCACATTGCCGAGACTACTCATTTCCATTAGTATCATAATTTCTTGAGGTATTATTCTTGATGGTACACACATCATTTTCCATATTCTGTATGGCTACAACATTTTGTTGGCAAACCTCTAGAAGATTATTTACAATTATGTTTTGTATAGATGATTGGGTTATGACTTTGTCTTCATCCATTTATTCCTTTATAATGGGCGACATTGAGCACCTTGAGGATATCATAATTGAAGATTCTGAAGGGGACGGCGATCTCAAAATCTACAAAGCCGCCAATTTATAAATAGAAAAATTCATTTTCTACCATTGGAGGCCGCCACATGCATACCCTTTCACCTTGAACACATGGCTCCAAAATAACATCAACTTCACTTATAGTGTTTGACAACTCCAAGCCCACTTAAAATGCTTCAATCCAATCATATTCTAGACAGATATAATCTAAACTTAAAACATATGCACAAAGGGAGCTCAATTCAAGAGAGCCTGGGGAATAAGACACCAGATCAGTGTCATTATTTATAGACAAACTTTTTGAAGAACCTAGCATCTCTCTCTCCACAAACTTCTAATCCATTTCCCCTGTTCTTCGTTCGAAGCTTTCAGGTGTCAATTCCATAAATTGGTCATCTCTGAAATGGTTTGGGGTTCAATAACTTTCCCAACATGTCACACTCATGAATAAAAACCATGAGTACGAATAAAATAAGAAAATGGTCGAGATATTACCTTTAACATTTAGCCAATGACGAACAGTTGAGGAGAAAGGAAGTTAAACATGAAGCACATAAGGATTTTTAGTAAAAAAGAAAGATCGAACTGATTTGGAATAAGGAAATTTAACACTTATCAAAGGTTGTGAGTTTTAGACAACAAAGCGGATGCATTTAATACTAGTAACTTAGGAATATAAAGGTAATGATAACTTGACTTCTTTGTGAGTCCCAAGGCAGTAAGTGATGATGATTAAAACTAAACCCTTAATAAAAATAAGAAGGTCATTAGTCTGAAAGAAAAACCTATATGGAATAGGATGCGACTTCTTATATCCGTGGTGAGGAGACAAGCACATGCGCATATGAATCGAAGTTATTCAACATCCAGGTTCCTTCTCCTAAAAGACATATCATAAGATTCATTAGGGACCTCTGACCTAAGTCATCATAGCATAGTATTCGATTTCAGACTTTCTCGAAAAGGAGTAATTTCTAGCAATGATAGCTAACTTCCCTTTTAGAATTCCTTAAGGACTTGAGAACGATTTTGTAAACTAGGATATATTTGTCCCTGTTCATGACAAGAGGGAGCATGTTGTCAATAATCATATGAATATATGGTCTTTTTTCGAGGAACATCGTCCTTTGGACCTTATGCTTGAGAGATTGTGTACATTCAAGTCTCCTCCGAAAGCACTTCACCCTTTTAGATGTCATGCTTGAGAGATTGTGTACATTCTTGTCTCTCCCTTCAAAGCCCTACGTCCCTTTGAGACTCATACTTGAGATACTATATACGTTCTTGTCTCATTGTAGATCGGTATGTACCTAGACAAGTGGCGATTAGGTTGTGTAAGAACCCAAACACTGATTAATCGTTGGACCAAAGCAAATAGCCGACCAAGACATACATATTCAATCGATGCAAAAACACTTCGATATGCGGACATAACTTTAAGAGCAGATTAACACTCATAAATGTTCAGTCTCAGATAAAAAAACAAAGGATTTAATGTCCATTCATTTTTCCTAGTTAGATAAGAAGACATGCATGTTAATAAGAAATGAATGGGTCATAGAAGACTTAGAACTTGTGAGACTTTATAAAAATTATCGATCGCAACACATTCAGGAGAGACTTCTCATTCCACTCCCGCACGCTTATACAAAACACTAGAGTTATCAAACTAGTGTAATCTACTTATTCCACCAACTCTTCATCAATTAATTCTCCTCATCAATTAATTCATGATGCTCTTAATTTCTTTGTATACCCTTCTTAATCTTATAATTTATCTTCACCAATCTTTTTAATATTTTTTCAATCATATCGTGGTGGCTTTCAAAATGTACCACAATCATATAGGTAAGCCATGATGCGCCACAAGAATTATTAATTAACTTGTTTCCCCTTTAGCGTAAATTATATGTAAATTCAAACATAGTAAGGAAAAAGGCCCATATTGTTTGTTTTAAATATTTCAAGGCTTTTGGAATTATCATAAGGAATATTTAATATTTCCAAATATAAAAAGTAAATTTTTCTTTACAACTAATATAAAAAGTAATTAAAACTATATTATTCACTTTTAATTTTCTTTTAATAAAAGCTTTATTATTCAGCTTTGATGCTGTATGAGATCATTAAATATATGAGATACTGTATGCAAGTATTGCATACGTATACATGTATATATATTATATATATCAAATAAGTACAAAAAAAAGTGCATATATTTGATAGTGTAATCTACAAGATCATATATCATGGATACATTGTTGAAATACGTTGCATTTGGGCGGCACCAAATCCTTTTGACTTCAAACATATAACCTTCATTTCTTCTACTATAAAAACAAACTTCATTATGCTTTACTTTAGAACATACAAAACTTTTTACTTTCCTCTTTCTATTTTTTGGTGGACTTTTCAAGTATCCATAATCAATATATTTTCATCTTCTAGCTAGCTTTGTGAAAAATGGGAAGATCACCTTGTTGTGATAAAACTGGACTCAAGAAAGGTCCATGGACACATGAAGAAGATCTTTTGCTTGTCAACTATATTAATACTCATGGAGCTGGAAATTGGCGCAACCTCCCCAAAAATGCTGGTACAAATTTTATTACTTTACTTGTTTTCTAATGTAGTTTAATTAGTTTCTAATAAAGTTTTTTTTTTGATGAATTATTGTTATAGGTCTTCAAAGATGTGGTAAGAGTTGTCGGCTTCGTTGGACGAATTACTTAAGACCTGATATCAAGAGAGGGAGATTCTCGTTTGAAGAAGAAGAAGCTATCATTCAACTTCATAGTGTCTTGGGAAACAAGTATGTGTATTTTTTTACTTGTTTTTTTGTTTGTGACGGTCGTGTAGATCTCTTAAATTTAAAGTGAAAAATAATCTCTTTAAATTTAAAAAATCTGCACGCCTACTAAATACAAATTTTATAATAAATTTCACTGAGGTTTGTAAATTCATTCTAATATAATATTTAATTTTATTATTTGTTATAGATGGTCGGCTATAGCGGCTAGATTACCGGGAAGAACAGATAATGAAATAAAGAATTACTGGAACACGCACATTAGGAAAAGACTACTTCGAAGTGGAATTGATCCGGTCACTCATACACCGCGTCTTGATCATCTATTCGACATGTCGTCCATTAATATTCTGAGATCAGCTTTATTAGGATCCAATCCATCATTTCTGAATCTATTAGGTGGTGCTCAAGCTTTGATGAATCCAGAATTGTTAAAACTAGCTGCAACTGCCACACTATTAAACAACAACATGAATTTGGTTTCACAGAATCAACAACAGTTCAATAATGTTGCTAATTATTCTACTCAACAACAAGCACAAAATAATCAAGTTTCTCTACAAGATCAGTTTCAAATACCGACTCAAACTCACAACAATATAATCACTAGTTCGATTTCAGCTGAAAATTCAAATCCTTGTAATTTTGAGGAGGATTTAATTTCTAAACAATATTCAGAACTGTTTCATTGTCTTAATCATGGAAATAATAACAATATGGGATATGAATCGGTTATATCGTCTACGCCGTTATGGACGACACCGACACCGACACCGACACCATCATCAACTTATGTGAATAGCTGCACAGAGGAAGAGAGAGATACATATTGCAGTGACATATTCAAGTTTGAAATTCCAGAGAGTGGTTTGGATATTAATGATTTCTTGTAAATATTTGTACATATGATTGTCTTTAGATACAAACAATGCATACTATAAACTGTTATAGTTAGTTAGTTTGCATTGGTTTTTCTTGTGTTATTTATTTTTTTGGGGTTACTTGGAATAATTTGTTGTGGTGTTGTTTATTAATTTTTGGTTGATAATAATACTATTTGTTGTATAATTTTACTGGTGTAGTATTTTTTATCTGAATGTTTCCTCTATTTTTTAAGCTTCTGTTTTTTTATAAAATCTATGAATTAGCTACAAATTATGCAGGTTATTATTTTGTTTTTAAAAACATTATTGTTTCATTTTAATTTTGATTTTAAGATTATTTATAAATGAGAAAAAAATAAATTAATTTTGTTGTTTTTAAAGGAATTATTTATACTCAAAAATATTTAAATGAGATGATAAAAGTCTTTTTTTTTCTTCTAAATTTAGAAATCTTGAATTAGAAATAATCTATATAATTGTGCGCAAAAAATATTAAATTTATAAAAAAATTATCATTTTAATCTTAAAGACACAGGTTCATTTTTTTTATTACCCCACTTTTTTTCTCTTTTCAACAATAATAATTATAAAATAATGTTAATGTTATATTAATATTTACAAAATGATAACTAATAAAAAAATCAATAAAATTAGTAATTAAAAAGGAAACAATGGAACAATACTAAAGAATTTGATTAATAATATATTACTAAGTTTGACGTTTCTAAGATTTTTTTTTAGTTTGCATGTGAAATGAAAAAAACCACTATAATATATCTAAGATTCGGGGACATCTCTACAATTAACTATAGTGTTACAAACAAATTTTGCATATTTTTTCTCAAACGTTTTCTAGCTATTCCAAAGTGGCTAGTGTTTGAAATATTAAATTAGAATATTAATTAAATTAGACTTGATTAGATTTAATATTTAAATATAATTTAAGTTATATAGATCTAAGTCTAATTAGAGTTGTATATAAATAGTCATAGTCTGAATTATTATTTGTATAATTGAATGATATAAATTTTTATTTATTTTTAATTATTTTTGCTCAATAAAAGTGTTTCACGCACTAATAAATTGGTATCCAGAGCTTTTAGTTATTATTCTTGATCGAGTTTTCAAGAATTTCACGTTAGAGATCGTGTTTCTAGGACAAGTGAATCAACCGCTGCGAAGATGGCTAGTGATAAGGGTATTCTGAATTCTCTTCCAACGCTTAATGGCAAGAATTGAATCCCATGGAAAAACAGATGCAATATTTGTTTGGCTTCCATGAAACCCTAGAAGTGGTTACAACGACGTTCTTGTGTTGATTGTAAATGCAACCGACTAACAGGAAAAAAAACTCACAACGAAGTCAAGAAGAAAGATTGCAAGGCTGGTTATTGCATTCAGACGGGGGTCAATGCTGCTAATTTTGACAGAATCTCTCATGCTGAAACGGCGAAGGAGGCATGAGATATTCTGGTGAAGTATTACGAAGGAGGTGAGAAAGTCAAGGTTGTCAAGTTACAAATCTTGCGTCCATAATATGAGTTATTGTCGATGGAAGAAGATGAAAAAATTGTAGAATATGTGTCGAAGGTTCAAAAACGCGTCCATCTAATGAAGGGTTGTTGTTAAACCATAACTGATAAGATGATAGTTGAGAAGGTAATGAGAACGTTGACCTCTCACTTTGATCACGTTATCGTAGCTATTCAAGAATCTAACAATCTTAAAACCACTAAAGTGGAAGAATTAGTTGGTTCGTTGGAGGCACATGAGATGAGGATTGTCGAAAGGAAAGGAGTGCAAGACTCGATACAGGCTCTGCAAGCTCAGTCATGGAAAAAGGATGGTGGTTCCAACAAGTTCAAAGGCAAGTTCAACAAGACTCAGGGCAAGAAGTCTTGGTCGAAATATCACAAACATCAGGTCAAAGATAGAGCTTCTGAGTCCTCGAAAGAAGGAGAAGGAAACTATCGAAAGAGCAAAGAAGATAAAAAAGGTGTGCAGTGCTAAGTGGGGTAATGCAGCCAAGAATTGTTGGTACATAAAAGACAGGGGATCGACAAGCAAGGACGAAGGAGCGAACCTTGCACGCCAAGATTCAGATGATTATGAAGGTGGTATGGTGATTATGGATGTAACACCATATTTTCCTGTCGATAAATCATATAAAATTAGAGTAAATTAATTTCCAAATAAACATCAAACAAATAGGATGTCACATACTTCTCCAATCACACATTCTCAAAATTAGGATACGCAACACAAAATCTCATGTTCATAAGTCTTAAACTTCAATGCATTTATTCGCAGCGGAAAAACATTGCTAAATAGTCATCTCAATTTCCAAATTGAAGTAGCAATTATTATCTTTCAAATATCAGCGTAATCATAAAACAATTCAAACAATGGAGCGATACAAGTCCACTCCTAACATAATAAAACAATTCACGCGAATCCCCGGAGTGTTACGTATAAGAGCAGACACCGACTCAATCTACACAACTGAAGGAACTCCTCAACTAACCTTCGATCACTAGCTACTTCGGATCATCTGTATGTTACCCATGTGGAGGTAACATTCAAAAAGAAAGGGTGAGATATCATATCAATATAAAAGAAAGCATAATAATGAGCAGGTACAGATTCAAGTACATAGTTAGCGCATAACATATATCGTAACATAAACCATACTTTCATCACTATTCACCCATCCAATTATCAGACACAATATGATGCAAAAGACCGACACAGACTCAATGCATGTGGTACTAACAGGGTAAAACCTCTTCGCAATAATTCCATTTAGGGCAATCAATTTTGCTCACCAATACAGGCCTTCGCTCGCCAATACAGGCCTTCACTTTATGAATGCATGAGACACTATCATGCAACAACATACTTCGCATTTATCGTTATTAATCATCACAATTTCACCAATACAGGCCTTCGTCATTGTTCTCATCATGTATCTCATGTCAAACAGTCAAAACAATCATCACAATTAACCACAACATAATTCATGGCGTACAAATCAAAACAGACTCGCGGATTGGTATCAATGTCAGTGAAATGATTAGCTACTGTATTATAAGTCATTTTTATAAGATATGAAATTATTTTATCTTCCTAACTATCCGAATGTCACATCAAACGGACATCCGAGGCACAAGTTACGAGTTTTAGAAGTTTTACAAAAAATGCTGTCAATAGCAGTGGTAACCGGTTACCGCAAGACAATAACCTTTTCCTTTTCAAAATTCCTCGCGGTAACCACTCACCCACTTATAGTGACCGGTTACCGCAGGACTGTAGCTAATCACGTTTCAGCCTTTGATATGGTAACCAGTCACCATAATTGGGTAATCGGTTATCCTGCGATAACAGTGACAAATTCTGTAGTTTTCATGTTACGATCTTCCATGTATTAATCCCCAAAATTCATAATTTTCACATCAAAATTCATCTTGTAAGTAGGCTAATTACTCATCAACATTATATACTAATATTAACCAATTCATGTCATCAAATTTCATCACAAACACGACAAAATCACTAAAAATCCAGCAATGGGGAAAAACCCCAAAAAACAACCAAATCATTAGAATTTAAAACACAAATCAAGCAACCTAAATCCTACCATACCCCATCATTAAGAAAACTTTTATAAAGTTAGAATCCCCTTACCTTAGATTCTTGGTTGGTTCTTGATTCGTACGGTGAATCCTTGCCCTAACTTTCTAGTGCTTCTTTCTCTTCTACCTTTTATACTTTTGTTCTTATTTCACGTACTGACTCTATTTTCCTTCTCTCATTCTAATATAGTCTAATGATAATACAAATAACCCAATAATTATTATTTAATTATTATTATAAAATAATAATAATAATCCTAACAATATAGTAATAAAATAATAATAATCTATATTATTTCGCACACCCATACGTTTCTACACATTTAACTAAACACCCCCATACTCTTAACTTCTATAATTCTAAGGCATTTAGTCCCCAACAAGGCATCACACCACGTCATAAGATCCGTCATCTCATATAATTTCACCGCATCATCATACTATTTAATTAAAATAAATCTAATTAAATCAGGGTCTTACAAATCTCCCCCACTTAGAATATTTTCGTCCTAAAAAATTACCTGAAGCAATTAACTCTGGGTAAGCCTCCCGCATCTCGCTCTCTAGTTCCCACGTTGCATTCTCTCTCCGGAAGCTCCGCCCCAAACCACTTTCATAAGATATATCTCTTTGCCTCTCAGCTTCTTTACCTCTCGATTCTTGATCCTCACAGGTACGGTTTCAACAGTAAGATTATCCCGCACTTGTACATCCTCTATCGGGATTACATGCGACGGGTCTGAAATATACTTCTAGAGTTGTGACACATGGAACACATCATGAAAATTTGAGAGGTTGGGTGGCAAGGCCACTCTATATGCAACAGTCCCCACCTTTTCTGGAATTTGATACAGACGAATAAACCACAGAGTCAACTTCTTTGACTTCAAAGCACGTCCCACGCCGGTCACCGACGATACCCTCAAGAATACATGATCTCCTTCTTGAAACTCGAGGTCTTTTCTTCTCTTATCATGGTAACTTTTCTTCCTACTCTACAAGGCTCTCATCCTTTCTTGGATCATCTTCACTTCCTCCGTAGTTTCTCGTATGATTCTGGTCCAAGTACGGCATTTTTATCGGGTTCATACCAACATAACGGCGTCCTGCACCTCCGACCATATAACGCTTAGAAAGGTGCTATCCCAATACTAGAATGGAAACTATTGTTGTAAGTAAACTCGATCAATGGAAGGAAACTATCCTATTTACCTCCTTGTTCAAGAACACAAGCTCTCAGTAAATCTTCTAGTGACAGAATAGTCCTCTCCGTCTGACCATTTGTCTGCGGATGATATGCAGAACTCAATTTCAGCTTTGAACCTAATGCATCCTATAAACTCTTCCAAATATCAGAAGTAAATTTAAAATCTCTAT